GGCCTCCCAAGAGCCCACGAAAGTGCCGACAGTTTCGCAGATCGCACGCCCCCCACGGGGCGGCGAGGTCCCGAGGTGTTCCGCGTATGACGTACCTCCGCTGGGCCTCCCAAGAGCCCACGAAAGTGCTGACAGTTGCGCAGATCGCAAACCCCACAGGGGGCGGCGAGGTCCCGAGGTGATCTGCGTATGAAGTACCTCCGCTGGGCCTCCCAGAAGCCCACGAATGTGCCGACAGTTTCGCAGATCGCAAGCTCCCCGGGGGGCGGCGAGGTCTCGAGGTGGTCCGCGTATGACGTACCTCAGCTGGGCCTCCCACGAGCCCACGAAAGTGCCGCCAGTTTCGCAGATCGCAGCCCCCCAGGGCACCGCGAGCTAAAGTGGTGATCTGCGTATGACGTACCTCTGTTGGGCCTTCCAGGAGCCCACGAAAGTGTCGCACCCCCTAGGCACGCCCACCCAACAGACAAGACGGCGAGGCAGCAATCAGGAACCAGACGGTACGAGAGAAGAGGAGAAGGGAACACAGGAAACAGGAGAGAAGGAGGAAATGAGAGGAGGAGGAGGAGGAGGAGGAGGAGAGGAGGAGGAAGTGGAGACCAAATTGCTGTATTCAAAACGAGAACCCAACACAGGAGGGTTGGGAAACAACCTTACCGAATGCCGCTGTCGTAATGGCGCGATCCTCTCGCATGCCGGTCGAACCGTCGCCACTACCAGCTGCGTTGCAGCAAGAGGGTCATCACCTGCTCTCTCCAGAACTGCTTGGGTAGTGATCTCGGCCCAATTACGCGTCTGATTCCACGCCCTTCCATTAAGTGCAGTATTGAGCTTAATGGCGTCGTACTTTTGAACCTTTGCCTCGCTCGCATGGTCGCCAAGAATCGCACTTTCCTGGAACTCCTCCCCGCAGGCGGGGTCGCCATTGTAATTGACCACGCCCTCTTTGTCCACGTCGAGGGGTTCATCCTGGAAGTGCTTGGACGTCGTCATCTTCTCAAGTATCCTGCAGCTGCTGCAGACGTTGTAGCTGATGCTGCCGTTGACGTTGCCCGGGCTGCTGTTTCTGCCGTGGTCCAAGTTGTTGGTGACGAGGCCCTCGATGGTGATGGAACCGTCGATGGTATGAAGTGCGCTGTGAAAATTCACGAACGCTAGAATGAGCGCCAGCATGTAGTCTTGCACGGCCACTCGATATGAAATCCTCGCAGAGGTGGAACAACAACTGCTACCGCTATACCACTGTTCATCACAACCACAAAGTTTAACCAACAGCTCTTGATGCAAGATTAGCAAAACAAACAACAATCCTCTCATACCGTACTCGAAATACGTCGTGAGTAGGTGCGTTCACCCTCCCGCCCAGCTGTGCGACGAATGGCAAAAGAGAACACTAAGCACCAGCGAGAGACAGTAACAGCAGCAAATCATCACCATAGCATATCAAACCTCTTCTATACTCATGTGCATACTCATCTACATGTCGCAGAATGTCCACTGGGGCCCAGCGAAAATAGGTCCGAATCCGCCAGAAGCCGGAGCCGAACGGGGCCTGAACTGAACATGCGCTCGAAATTGCCACAGGGCCAGCCCCCGCCTCCCTCCCTACGTTGCTCCCTCCCGTGCCGCCCACCCACAGACACTCGGGCGGCGGGCACTGCGACCCGCTGACCGACAAGGGAGGACGACGCGCGGGCCGACGGCCGCGACGGGTTCTGACCAAATCCTGACAGGACAGAGCCGCCGGCAACGTCCCCCTCCCACCCCCGGCTATTTCCTCTCACTGTGAAAAATCACGACGGGCTGTTTTGGCCGTTTTCGGCCTCTGTGGGCCCTGACCTGGCCTCGGGACCGTCTAAAAACATCCAGGGCTATTGTGGAATATGCGGCCGTTGGACACTGTTGTTCGTGCTCATTTGCTTTCTCCTTCTCTCTGTTTTCTTGTAGTAATGGGGGCGGCATTTGCGTCATTCCCCAATCAGAGCTTGCCTCTGTAGGGGTCCTAGCGGATTAAAGGGTTAGGTGAGGTTTGTCGCCGATTTCGGTGGCCGAGCCCGGGTGCCCGGGTGCCCGGCGGTGCCCGGGTGCCCGGGCGGCCGGAGGTGCGTGGCCGATTTCGGTGGCGGGGCCCGGGTGCCCGGGTGCCCGGGTGCCCGGCGGTGCCCGGGTGCCCGGGGGTGCCGAATAGCCCAATAGCCCAATAGCCCAGTAGCCCTATAGCCCTATAGCCCTACAGCCGTATAGCACTATGGCCCTATAGCCCTAGAGCCCTAGAGCCCTATAGCTCTAGAGCCCTATAGCCCTATAGCCCTATAGCTCTAGAGCCCTATAGCCCTGTAGCCCTATAGCACTATACCCCTATAGCCATATAGCCCATATAGCCCCATTGCCCCAACAAAAATCTGATCGGGGCTTTTCCCCGGTATCATAATCGAAAGCTCTCCGAACACTTTTGCACGATTCTCCTCGTCCTCCTCCACCACCTCCCCTTCCTATGGGGCATTCACAGACAGTTATTTTGTAGTGGGTCTGATATCCTCCCCCATGGGGGGGAGAAGCAACTCAAAAACAGAAACGGCGGCGGGTGGACGGGATCAGATGTTCCCCTCCTCCACCCCCGATCAGGTATCCTGGCCAGTGAGTCCTTGCTGCAGGAAGCCTTACTCAGGATTCCTTACTGAAGGCGCCGTTCTCAAGGATTCCTCACTAAAGGAAGAATGCGCGAGGAATCCTTAGTATAAGGGTCTTTATCGAGGGGCCCTTTACTACAGACATTCCCATAAGGCAAGCCTCATTTAAAGCATCCTTATTTTTGTCTACATGACTACAAGCATCCTGAATCAGGAAAACGCATCCTTACTAAAGAAATTCGACGAAAGAAAATCGTAAGGATTCCGTTCTACAGGGGTACGCACCGAGGGTACCCTTACTACAGAAAGATCCCTAATAAGGAGGCATCACTCAACACATTATTACCACAGATCCTTTCCTAAAGGCATCATCGCCAAGGAGCCCTTAGTAAATGAAACATGTGTAATGAATCCTTATACCTGGGATCCTTGCCGTGGGGTTGTTACCACAGGCATCCTCACCAAAGCTGCCTCACTGAAGGGATGCTCCACAAGGACCCCTTGGTAAAAGGCAGTTTCCAAGCCAAGGGGATACTTACTGAAGGTTTATGAAGGTTTTGTCCGGGTAAATAAAAAAACGCGATATTTACTATTGAATGCGTATTAGAACGGAGGCATCCCTATCAAAGAACCACCGAGAACGCTGCGCTGTCACTGTGACGGAACCTGCTGCGGGCAGCTGGACTATTTTTTTGAAAAGATACCCGAAGGGACCTGCAAATGCAGCCCCGAGGCGGTCGCAGCCCATCGAGCCACTGGCATGTAACGTGGCTTGAACGGGGCCCAGCGCGCCTGACGGGGGCTCGCTTATCTCATTGTAGATGCTCTGGGTCGCTCACACACGACACGCATGCACGGCGATGCCCTGTGTTGACGTTGTCATGCGCACAGCTTTTGTTCGCAAATCGATTGCGGTCGGTGCAATTTATCCGACCCCGTGGCCTTGTTTCTGGACGCGGCCATCTCGGCAGCCTGGCGCGGCGCCCTTCTCTGAAATTCGACACGCGCCGTCTTCGATAAGGTCCGCAAAATGCATTCGCACACATGCGTGGACTTCTTGGCCTGCTCCACCCTGGCGGACGTGGCCACCCAGAGGGATGCGGAGATTAAGCCCAGAGACCGATGGAGATGGGGCGTAACACGGCGCCCTTCTTCTGCATTGCGGCATGCGCCGTCTTCGCCAAGCTCCAGAACATGCGCTCGCACCAAATATTTGAACGATTTGGCCTGCTCCACCCTGGCAGCCATGGCATCGCAGAGCGATGTAGAACTTGAACCCAAGACCGATGCAGATGGGAGTAACAAGTTGCCGAACGCTATCGCGAGTTCGGCTCAATCACCTCCGTGGCGCCAACGGTGGATCTGGACTAACATAGTCTGGCGGCGCCGTCCGGTGATAATACGTTTTCTTTAGGGTCGACCTGGGAGGGCTTCCTGTCAAAAAGCAATGGAAGAAGCGCGCCGGCGGATGATTGCCAGGTCCGACCTGGAAATTAGAGGTCGATAGATACGCGCTGAAATGCCACCCCGTGCATGAAATCATACACTCTGGTTACGGTGTCCGATTTGTACCCCGCTTGCGGTTATATAGAAAAGGACCTGAAGGGGGACCTGCATCGAGCCACTGGCATGCCCCGCGTGATTCTACGGAGCCCCGTGCGCCTGATGGACGCTCGTTTATCTTATTGAATCTGCTGCGAGTCGCCCACCCATGACGCGCATGCACGGAGATGCCCTGTGTTGTCATGGTCATGCATCCATTGTTGTTTCGCAAACATTTCGCACACGAATCGTACTCATCATCAACGCCATCATTACCATCATCATAGCATCAGCATCAGCGTCGTCATCACTATCATTGTCATTATCATAATCGGCATCCTCATCATCATTATCATCATCCTGATCCTCATCGTTATCATCATCATCACCATCATCATCATCATCATCATCATCATCATCACCATCATCATCATCATCATCATCATCATTATCCTCATCCTGATCGTCGTCATCATCATCATCATCATCATCATCATCATCATCATCATCATCATCATTATAAGCATCATCATCATCGTTATCATCATCATCATGATCGTCGTCTTCTTCATCATCAGCACCACCATCATCATTATCGTCATCATCAGCTCATCATCATCCTCAGCATCATCATCCTCATCATCATCATCATCATCCTCATGCTCCTCCTCCTCACAATTATCATCACCATCATCATCATTATCCCTCCTCCCTCCTCCCTATTCCCTCCTCTATTGTCCCTCCGCCCTCTTCGCTCCTCCCTCCCTCCTCCCTCCTTCATCCCTCCCAGACAGCGCCCGTCCCCCTTGGCCGCGAACACGGCGGCGCCTGCCAGCACTCGCACGTGCACGCGCTGCCCCACCTTGCAGACGGCCAGCGTCGTCGCCGCCGCCGCCGCCGTCCTCGTCGTCGTCGTCGCTCCTCCTCCTCCTCCTCCTCCTCCTCCTCCTCCTCCTCCTCCTCCTCCTCCTCCTCCTCCTCCTCCTCCTCAGCCGTCTTCGCCCAGGCAAGGGGTGCGCGCGCGCCGGCCTGTCCCCCCAACCCCCGGGCCTGGGCCCCGCAGACTTGCGGATGGCAATGCGGGATCGGGCCCCGTGGCAGGCTCCACCAGGGAGCTCGCGGACGCGCTGGCGGCCGGGCGCGGCGGCGGAGAAGCGGCCGGCTCCGGCGGCGAGGGCGCCCCCGGCAGAGTCCGGGAGCGGGACCTCCCCAGCGAACGGCGCGTCGGAGGCCCCGCGCGGTGCCGCAGAGGGTGCACCCAGGATCGCAGGACTTGATCGGGCACCCTGGCGGGCTGCGAACGGGCTAAGGCGGCAGCTCGGGGCACGGAGGGCGCCCAGGCCGTCCGACGTCGTCCGCGAGCCCCCAAGCCAACTGCTGGGCGTTCGAGGAGTCCGGAAAGGCGCATCGTGCGCAAGCCGCTGACGAGGAGCCCGTCTGTCTCTGCTCCCCCGCCCTGCGTGTAGCATCTGCCGACGGACCCCGACAGCATGCACCAATTCGTGCCCAAGGGCACCCACATCGAGTGTGAGAGCGTGCGCCACACGTACACGGTACATCACCATCACCACGCGATGGCCAGCGACTCCAGGGTACAGGCTCAAGGGAAGGAGCCAGCGCACCAGCACCACGTCCAGCAGGTGCAGCGCCTCACGACCAGCGACACCGAGGTAATAACAAGCCAGGTGCAGCGCCAGGCCAGACTGCGTCGGAGTCCAGCCTCACCAGCAAGGAGCTTAACATCCTCAAGCGCATGGCAGCAGCGGAGGCTGAGAGTCTTGCCTTCAGCAGCGAGCCTCTGGCTGAGGTCGAGGACCGCTTCAAGCAGAAGGAAATAATAATGACAGATCGGATAAGAAGGTGAAGGCCGACATACGCCCCGAGGTCTGCGTCGCTTCTGATGCGGAGAAGCGCTGGCTTCTCCGAGGCAGTACTTGGACGAGCTCCGCGTCCAGGAGAGCAAGCGCAGCAAGCGCGCAGCCCAGGCAAAGTAGCGTCAGAGCTTTTGCGCTGGCGTGCGCGGAAGGCAAAGCGGGGGCAAAGGCACCGTCCTCGCCAACGCGGCATCCTCGAACCAGCTAGCAGTCTCCACCAGCGAAGCCTGGTGAGTTTCAAGGGCCCGCAGCGGAGGCTGCCCGAGCGGCGGCTCTGCTGGAATGGTGCGCGCCGCAATTGCGGGCCCAAGTGCCGCTTCCGTGTGCCATCCGTTCTCGGGTAGTGCAGCGGCGGTGGCAGTCCGAGCGGCGTCGTCGGGATGGGCGGCGGTGGCAGTCCGTGGCGTCATCGCGACAATGTCCCGTTTTGTGCGGCTGCGTTTACAGCAGCCCCGCCTGCAGGAACCAGGTAAGGGCCTGGGGTCAGGCGGCTGGATCCCCTCCCCCCCTCCCTCCCCGCCCTCGTCCCACCCTCCCTCTCATCCTCTCCCCCAAATCCTGTGCACTGCGCTATTGTTAGGTAGCCCGTGCAGGTGTGCAAGAATGTAGGGCGCGATTGGCGTGAAGCTTCGCTCGCTCGCCCCTCTAACACGGTGGCCAGCTATGCTCCAGCGTGCGAGTTTGCTTCGTAGTCAGAAATGTCCCAGACATGTCCCTCCTCGTCCTCTTCCTCTTCCTCCTCCTCCTCCTCTTCCTCCTCCTCCTCCTCCTCCTCCTCCTCCTCCTCCCCCTCCCCCCCAATCCACGCAAAGTCTCTTAAAAATCCCAGCCGTGTTGGTAGGGTGTGCCTGGCATTTCGCCTGAGTCTTCCCCACCATTTATGATCCTGGAGCTGGAAAGCTGCAGCAGGTTCGCGGATGTAGAGGGCCATGTCTTCAAATGTGGCTCTCGCCCTAGCGTCACGCACGTTCGTCTTACAAGTCTGCAATCGCTGCGCGGGTGAAGGGGGCCAGTTTCCAAACTCTCGCATTAGCGACGCGCAGATTCATCGTACAAGCTTGCAGCAACTTCCCGGATGGAGGGCATTTTTTCTAACTAAGATGATGATGTGGCTCTCGCCTTGGCGCTGCGCACATTCTTCTTACACTGCCGCATCGGCTTCACAGATGGAGGGCGTTTTCAGAATGTGGTTCTCGCCTTAGCGCCGCGCACAATCGTCTCAAAGTCTGCAGCAGCTTTAAGGATGGAAGAGAGGGCGCTTTCCAAATGTGGCTTTCGCCTTAGCGCAGCGCACATTCGTCACACAAGCGTGCAACGGTTTCATGGATGGAAGGCGGCTCTTTTGTATAATGTGGCTCTCGCTTTGGCGCCGCGTACCTTCCTTTGAATGACAGCATCATCTTCACGGATTGAGAGGCGTTTTCAAAATATGGCTGTCGCCCGAGCGCCGCACAGATTCGTCTTAAAAGTCTGCAGCAGTCTCAAGGATGGAAGGGCGTCGTTTTCGAAAAGGTGTTCTCGATTTAAACATGTGCGCTAACTACACACATTGAGGGCGGTTCCTTTTCAAGGTGGTGCTCCCGTGTTAGCGCCGCCAACAGTTGTCTTAAAATCCCTGACAGCTTCAAGGATTGAGCGCTGGTCGTTTTCGCCATGGGGATCTTGCCTCAGCGCCGCGCGCATTCGCTGTTTAATGCAAAGTTTGGCAGAATGGAGGACGGGTCATCTACAACATCGACCACTCGCTTCAGATTTGGCTACGTCAAAAGACCTGTAACTTCAACGCATGTAGCGCTGCACGGATCCGTTGTTCTTTTTCAAAGTAGAGCTGCCGTGGATGGCTTCCTCGAAGCTGGCCACACGTGAAACTTGCGTAAGAGTTACACAGATGGGAGGAGTCCTTCGACAAGGGAACCTGGTTGAACTGAATGATCATTGCTTTCGCATTACGGACTACGCGCCAGGAAGATGCAAGGCAAGTCTTCTGCCAAGCGGGTCCATCGCCAAAATGATATGCACATCTTTTTTCTCCTCGCAAACATCAGCAAGGCTTCGGTGCTGAAGCTGTAGCTCGTTCGCGTGCTGTTCGCATCACGAGCCAAGTGCAAACAGAGCGCGGAGCAGAGACAACGATGCCAATGCAGATGTCTTCGAGCGTTGTGCGTGCACCCCTTATGATCCGACCGATCATTGATATAACTCGGCATCACATAACAGCACTCAAGGAGCCGCAGCATAGCACGTGACAACTGGTTGGAACATACCACGAGTTTCTAGTACGCCACAGCGTGGAAAGCAGTAGCAGAGGAGGAGGAGGATGAAGAGGAGAAGGAGAGGGTAACACTGCACTGCATCCGACGTCAACCACCGACGTCCGGTCGTGAGTTTACGTATCCCTGGGCCTCCTCAGCCGCGCATTTTAACCCACCGTTGCACGATGTACTGAGACCAGCCCTGCAGCCAGCAATGCACTGAGACAGCACCGTGCAAAGTTGGGCACGAAGAGCAGCAGGGCGAACAGCGGGCGAGGAGGGAGGGGGAGAGGGCAGAACAGCACTTTGTACCTTGCAACGTCTCCTGCCGAAACAGAGGAGCCAGGCCAGATGCGGCCGGCATCACTGCAACAGCTTGTCAGCAAGCAGTATGGTGAAGCGCTACCAGAGATAAAGAAGATAATATAAGCTGCGCAGGCCCAACTGTGCTGGTCTTTCGAGGGGGCGCTTCTTCTAGCGAAAAGGAGGACTTGCAGGGGGTATCCGGAGGGGACTTGGGACGTGAGGGTACATTGCAGCATCGCTGATGCATATTTGGTTTACTCTGGTCCTCCCTCTTCATCTGTCTCCCTCCTCTCGGAGATTCCCAGAAAGGTATCCCTGGACGAATGCTGCAGAGGCAGGGGAGAAGGGGAGGGACAGGGGATGGAGAGGCCAGAAGCGGAAGAGGAGAATACGCAGGGACAGCCCAGCCCTCGGTCGTGCGCGGAAGCTCCGACGACTCGATCGGAAAGACCAGCGGCTTCAGACTTTGGGGTCGGCTGTTCTGACTCTGGGGATGAAGAGGACTCCTCGTCCTCCTCCTCCTCCTCCTCCTCCTCCTCATCATCATCATCAGCATCATCAGTAACACCACCACCACCATCAGAATCTTTACCATGACAAATCAGAATAATAACCAGCATCATCTTTCATCATCTCTCATCATCGTCATCATCATCATCATCATCATCATCAGCAGCATCATCATCATCGTCATGATCATCATCACCACCAAAAATCAGAATTCTCCTTGTCCTCCTTCTCCTCCTCATCATCATCACAACCATCATCTTCAACAACATCAACATCATCATTATCATCATCATCATCGTCAGCATCCTCGTCATCGTCATCGTCATCATCATAGTCATTCACATCGTCGTATCCATATTCAAATACAGATTCATCACTACCACCATGGTAAGCATAACCAACAGCAGCAAACTCATCACCATCATCATCAGCATCGGCACCGTCACCATTCTTACCATCAGCATCATCATCAGCATCAGCATAATTACCATCAGCATCATCATTAGCATCAGCATCAGCATCAGCATCAGCATCAACATCATCATTCTCATCATCCCCACCACCACCACCACGACCACCCAGGAGAAACATGCGTGGCAGGTTCCGCGAAGTAGCTCCAAACCCTGGAGGTGGAGAGTGCTGTTTTTTCCCGTGGCGCGAATAGGGGCTCTGGTACACGGATGTACCCTTCGCCCCGAAGCGAAGAGCAAGAATACATCGGGTGGCTGTGCACAGAAAGAAGAAGCCTGCTCGAATGAAGGGCCACGGCCATGAAAGAGAAGAAAGAGCGAGAGACTTTCTCCCGTCTTCTGAGACTTCACAATGTTCAAGCACGTACGCACGAGCAGAAGCAGAAGGCTCCGTGAAACCGCTGTAACCCCTGAAGGTGGGAGAGCTGTTTTTCGTGGCGCGAGAAGGAG